ACTAAGGACTATGGAAAACCAAAAGTAGTGCTGGGAACCGGGCCCAGTTTCCCAAAAATAACAGGCTGTAAAAAAAATCAATTATGAATCTGAACTTAACGTAAACCTAACTTCAAGAGACTTCAATTCTCGAACTAGGAGTCTATACCTGACCTACTGACCCTGGGTATAGCCAGTCCGCTAGATGGAATTTTCCTTCCTGTGACAAGGATGTGGAAGAGTTACCAAGTGCCCAGGTCTTGGTAAGCCACGCTTGTCCCTTCTTTAGCCAGTCAGCTAAGATCTTCAAACAGAGTTCAGCCAGTATGTGATTGCTAGTCCGAAGAAAACTCACCCTCTCACCCTTGAAAACCAGGGCATGTTCCGGGAAGCGCCATATGACCTCCAAGATGATGCCTCTGCAGACCGAAAATAAATATATCAGACCAGCTGAGGGTGTCCCTGGTTCAGGGAGTTTGTTATGAAGCATCATAACCGCTGACCATTCTTTACGGGGAAGAGGGAGCGCTTTCCACTTCTCCTTCCACCACTCCCAGATTTGGTCCGAAGCCGGGAAGAAAAACCACAAATGGGAAGAAGTTTCCCAAACCCAATTACATGGGGGACAGGTATCAGAGATACCCATGCCTTTTGATTGTAAGTAGGTGAAAGACGGCATCACATTCAGGGAATGGAGCCACAGGATTGCATCTTTTCTTTCTGGGAAGGCATTTTTCTCAGGGTATGTCATAGACAATACAGGTGCTGATCTCTGATGGAACAACAGTGAAGATCTGCTATTCTAGCTATCGCCGTTGTGATGGGCTTGTTCTGCTTTTTGTCACCCTGCACCTACTTGAGGCTTTGTTGTGGTCAGTAGCATTCTTCCACCCAAAGAGCAAAGGCTCTATCCTTAGATATTGTGTATCCACAGGGAGCACTTGATAATAAGTTGATATGCAGATCTGTCTTTGATAGCCGTTTCCCACACTCTGATTTCTGCCCAACCCTCCGTAGACCAGACAATTGTTTCTTCTGTAAATTTCGTTGTCCCCTCTGATTTTTGGCCACACTGCAAGACCCATCTTTCTACCTTCAGTCCAAGTCTGAGGTCCAAGCCCAGGATTCTCCAGCACGTATCCCTGTTCGAGGGGTTCTGGAGCCAAGCCCCAGGGGTGGATTCCATATCTGAGCGTAGGGCAGCTATCCAGTGGAAAGGGACCGACTCTTGTACTTTCCGGAGATTATCAAACATATTATGCACCCTATGGAGTTTTTTTCTAAGCTCTTCATGCAGGATCCAGTTGTTATAATCTTCGTCCCACACGTCCCTCAGCTGGATCACATCCTTCTCTACCCATATTATCCCAAGGGAGCCCGGGCTGCTGTCGGCTAGGAGGACTCAGGAATTCTGCTCTATGATGTATCTGTTTTTGAACAGAATTTGCCTCAAGGCATCGTGCAATTGTTAGCATCCTCCCCCTTCACAGTTGAAATATCTGTCATTCTCTTCCCATCGGCCCATCTTTTTTTTCTTTTTCTTTTTTCAACAACACCCCCACCAGTGTTACTGCTGCTGATAAGAGCAGACACCACTAACAACTGGGGAGAGGCTCCATCTATTGGTGGGGAGCATCACCTGCTGGAAATCGGGTCCAGCGTCCCATTTACATTAAAGAGAACGTCTGAGAGTATCTGAGAAAAATGAGGACAGTGACTGTGGGGCCTGCCAGCATTGATTGCCCTGTAACCCAGGGGATTGACTGAGCAGGCCTGTATAGTGTCCAGTAGTGTAGTCCTTTGTGAGCTTGGAGAGCTGCCATTGCCTTCTGTATCTCTTCACCCTCGCCAGATACGCAGTTCAGGGCTGATACTATGCGAGGGCTGCTCACTCCAAACCCCGCCCGATGTCTGCCAGCATTGACTACCTCAACTGAATGTACACAAGAGAGAAATGAGCATGGTCCTCCTCAGGGGGCTCCAGGGAGGAATTCCACGTGTGGGCACCTATAAGAATGTAGGGGATGTAAAAGATGTAAAGGAGAACAGGTTATCGGTGTCGCATTCAGGAAAAAATCTCTGCCGGTGACAGGGCGTGGGGTGGGAAGGGATCTGGAGGAAAATCCGAGGGAGGGCGTAATGGGAACGAGGGCTCTACATTAGTCCAGTCCTTGAACTCTAGACGGTAGTCTCTCATCTCTTCCAAATCACGCAACCCTTCTCCTCGATCACCTCTCCATTCTACTTTTGCAATCCATGCTTCTCTTTCCCCTCCTACCCAGTCCGTGCAAAATGCCGTAATCCGTCTCTTGACGTCTCCAATATGTTTGAAAAGATCTAATTGTGCTTTTGTGTCCAGCCATCTACATGTGAGTTCAAGGTGTACTTGCTGCTGGATCTGTTTTGTGATCTTTGCGCCCTCTACCCGTACCTTTTTCATGGCCAGGGTGCATCTTTGCCACCAGAGTGCCTATATCACCGCCCTCCTCCCTACTCTGTACATGTTCTCTACGAAGGTTGTGGCTGTTCCTGCCAACAACCAATGCCCAGCCAGTATGGCTTGCCATGACCAGGGCCAGGGAATGTCCGGTGCCATTTTCCGCCAGATACGATACCACCACCTCCATATGAATTGGGCAATCGGACATTGCATGAAGATATGTTCAATGGTTTCCACATTTTTGTGGGAAGGGAAGAGGCTCTGACACCGCTGGCACCATGGGAGCAACAAACCTCTTTGTTCGAGGTTTGTATGGTCAGTTAACCAGTCGTTGGTTGGCAGACAGCGATGGGTTATCTGCCACTGTAGGGAGGCGATTTTCATGGGCTTATATTTTTGTTCCTTGAACCATTGGATTGGTGACAGGAGGGTGCGGTCCACATTCAGGTGTTTGTCCCATCTATCGTTAATCATATCTCTCAAATACCATTTAGGTCTAAGCATTTTGTAAGCTGATTTGACCGTTAGCTGGTGCAGACTAAGGTGACTTATCTTATGGGCTCCCTTCTTTTTTCGGGGGGGAGGTGTTTAGTTTATAGTAATTGGCCCCCTGGTCTGGCCGTTTACGAAATGTCCACACCGCCATACACATCCTGTGGTCTAGCCCGAGATATGGGCTGGTTGGGAGTATTGTCGTCACCGAGAGCCCCCCTCCCAACTCCTCCGAAGCCAAGATTAGATCGATTCGGGATTTGGACAATCTGGCGGGGTCATTGTTTTGGATGCAGGTAAAGGCTCTTTCGGT